GACAAATTAAGATAAGAAAATTTGGAAACTAAGGAATTTGAATCCTATGCTTGGGATCTTAGAAATTCCCCTTGTACCTTCTCTTAACATCCCCTGTAAAGAAATAGACGAGAAAAATATTGGTCCGAAAGTCGGCTGAATCGGGAATCGAACCCGAGACCTTCCGCTTGCCCGGCGACTGCTCTTCCAACTGAGCTATTCAGACACTTACAAATCAATATTTCTCTCAATGTTTATAACCCCCACTCCCCACCAAGGCGTCGTAATTGGTCCAAACGCGACAAACAATAATAAGAATATTTTTAAGTCAGCTCTCCAATTTTTAAACCACCATATTCATCTCGACTAAAGAACCAAACGCGATGTTATTGCGACAAATTAAGAGAAGAAAATTTGGAAACTAAGGAATTTGAATCCTATGGTTGGGATCTCAGAAATTCCCCTTGTTCCTTCTCTTAACATCCCCTGTAAAAAAATAGACGAGAAAAATATTGGTCCGAAAGTCGGCAGTTGGAAGAGCAGTCGCCCGGCAAGCGGAAGGTCTCGGGTTCGATTCCCGATTCAGCCGACTTTCGGACCAATATTTTTCTCGTCTATTTCTTTACAGGGGATGTTAAGAGAAGGAACAAGGGGAATTTCTGAGATCCCAACCATAGGATTCAAATTCCTTAATTTTCAAATTTTCTTATCTTAATTTGTCGCAATAACATCGCGTTTGGCTCTTTAGTCGAGATGAATATGGTGATTTTTATATTTATTTATATTTAAAAAAATAAAAAATTGCTAGTGTTTAAATAATTGTATATTTTACCGCTAATTTTAGATTAAAATTTGTGTCAGTTAGAGTTAGTAATATTGTCTTATTTATTAATATAAGCATCGTCTGTCTGTCTGTCTGTATGTACCCGAACTACTTCCGCATTTATGGACTGATTTTAGTGAAACTGGTACCAAAATGTTGCAAATTTTTCGGGGCTGCTGTGGGGTTTGTTTTTAATTTTTTAATTTTAATTTTTTTTCCTCAGAGGAGGGTATGTTTTTGCGAAAAAAATCTTTTTTTGCAATATTTCTAAACACATGGTATCAAAATGTTGCAAATTTTTTGGAGATAGCGACGATGCGGTTTTTTCAAGTGTTACACCTCCACCCACGCATTCATCCACACGTATGCGCATTTATGGACCAAATTTCATGAAATTAGTACCAAAATTTTTCTGAAAAAACTACTGTTTTATTTTTTTAAGTTTACGCCTCCACCCACGCACTCACGCACGCAATTGCATATTTATGAACCATTTTTTTTTAAATTGGTACCAAAATGTTGCAAATTTTATGGAGATGGCGACAATGTGGTTTTTTCAAGTGTTACACCTTCACCCACGCATTCACCCACGCGCATGCGCATTTATGGACCAATTTTCACGAAATTGGTACAAAAATGTTACAAATTTTTCTGAGAAAGCTGTTGTGTGGTTTTTTTAAGTGTTATCCCACCCACGCATCCACCCACGCATTCACACATTTATTCACAGACTTTTTCGAAATTTGTACTCAAATTTTGTCGGGGATGGCTACTATATGATTTTAACAAATTTTTATCACCCTATTCATCCGCCCACGCACCCACCCACGCATCCATGCACTCATGTGCGCATTTATTGACCGATTTTTACGAAATTGGTACCAAAATGTTACAAATTTTTAATAGAAAGCTGTTGTGTGGTTTTTTTAAGTTTTATCCCAATCACGCATCTACCCACGCATTCACACATTTATTCACAAAGTTTTTCGAAATTTGTACTAAAATTTTGTAAATTTGTCGGGGATGGTCAATATATGATTTAAAAAAATTTTTAACACCCTATTCACTCACCCACGCAACCACCCACGCATTAACAAATTTATAAACCGATTTTCTCGAAATTGGTACAAAAATTTCGAATATTTTTCGGGAATCGATAATATGTGTTTTCTTTATTTTTACCACCCTATTCACACACTTACGCAACCACCCACGCACCAACACATTTATAGACCGATTTTCTCGAAATTGGTATCAAAATTTTGCATATTTTTCGGGAATCACTACTATGTGTTTTTATTTAAGTTTTACAATACTACATACACATTCACCCACGCATTCATAATTTATTGATTAATTTTCTCGAAATTGGATATCTATTTATATCTATTTATCTGTGCACGAACCGCTGCGTGAAAAAGGATCGCGCGACACAACAGGATAAGTCACTTTTGTATATAAAAAGAATTTAATTCTCAAACACACTTAATGACAAAATACACTTTAACAAACTTATTACAAACGTTAATTATTTTACAGGAAAAAACGTAATCGAAATCAGAGTAAAGAATAAGCGGTCGTCAACGAATTTTGCGGTTTAACTAGTATGCGGTTTTGCGTTATGCGGTTCACGGCGGAAATCAATAAGGCTGACAAGCCGGGTGTGAGCTCCTCCTTTATAGTTTTCAGGACGGAGCCCACCTTCGCGTGAAGCGCCAATAATTTCGAGTATTTCGAATATTGCGCGAGGTGACCTGAGCGCATTACTCGTAATTGGCCGCTGTTAGAATTGACGAAACGAAGGCTGGAAGAAAGCATGCGCGAGCGGACGATCGTGATAATTATTGGTGAATCGAGGCGCCCGTGAGAAGCCGCGCATGCTCGTTGTAATATAATTATTCGGCGGAACGGTTGCGATACCGTTACTTGTTTATATTTTTGATAGGTTTTTTGATGACAGATTGATGATCTATGTCGCGGTGTTTTCATCTTTGAAAAACATATAAAAACGATATAACTATTTGTTGTGAATCTCAATCTCGATCGGTCTAGAATATTCTAAAATATTCTATTCGAATATAATATTTTATTATGCGTATAATATTCTATTATGCGTTTTGAACAATATCTATATATATAAGTTAAAAAAATTGAGTAAAATGTAAAAAAGGATATAATAATTAAGTAATAAAAAAAATATTTAAAGTATATATTAACTAAAATAATGTTTTATATTTAAAAAATATGAAATTGTGTGGAAATTAAAATAAACAAGAAAATAAAAATAAAAATATATAATAAATATTTAAATATATGCAAAACGCGGTGTAAAATAAAATATCTGGGAGAAAGAAATAGATAACATAGTAGTCATCCACAAAAAAATGTAAACATTTAAACATTGGTATAAATTTCGTGAAAGAGTCGGACAACAAATGTGGAAGTAGTTCGCGGTAATACAAAAAAAAGAATTAATTTTTGTGTTAAAACGAATTTAATATAGGCTATATGAGGACTTCGCTTTGCGCGGTCCGAATAGAAAGGCTTTGAGGACCGCGCGAAGCGCGATCCGAAAAGCTAGTTTATTATACTAGACAGCACAATGTGCGCTTCGAGCGCGCCATTGGTATTGTTTTTCTTTATATTTTATAACTATCAAATTGTTAATCTTCGCGATGACAGTTGCTTGATACTTTCAGTTTAACAACAAAACGACTCGAGATCAGAAAAGCGGCAACAATACTTGCGAGAATTTATTTTTAAAAAAATTTTTATTATATATTACATAATTTTAATTTGTCGAATTATTATGTACATAATTTTAATTCGCCAAAAATTATGTATATAATTTTAATTCCCGAATTTCTATTATGTACATGATTTTAATTCATCGAATTTTTATTACGTACATAATCTTAATTCTCCGAATTTCTATTATGTACATAATTAATTTTAATTCGCCAAATTTCTATTATGAACATTATTTTAATTCGTTGAATTTCTATTATGTTCACAAATTTAATTCACCGAACTTATATTATGAATATAATAACAATTTACTGAATTTCCATTATGTACAGGGTGTCCGGTGACACGCGTTTAACACTTTAGTGAGAGATTTCTGAGGCGATTTAAAGACGAATTTTCCTCAACGAAAATGTCCAGGCACCAATAATTTTTGAGTTATAAATGATTGAAAATAAAAGCTTTTTTGTAAACTAAGCTTTGTAAAAATAAATTATTAACAAAACTACATTTTTTAGTTAATTTCAGGTAAAATTTATTGTAATAAAATTTTAATTTAAGGCTTAATTATTATACATAGATACATGATTTAAAAAATTAGGAATATTAAACATATGATGACCTTTCTCATCATTTTCGCTGAAGAAAAATCGTCTCCAAATCGCCTCAGGAATCTCCGAGTAACGTGTAAAACGCGAGTTACCGAACACCCGGTATATATAATAAAAATTCAAGAATTATTTTTTGAAGAAAGAGGAGGTGTATATTGTGTTTTATAATCATGTATATACGTAATAGAAATTTGGTGAATTAAAATTATGTACTTAAATAATAGAAATTCGTGAATTAATATTATGTACATGTAATAAAAATTTGATAAATTAAAATCATGATTATATGACAGAAATTAGATGATTTAAATCATGTACGTTTGTACATATAAGAGAAATTCGGTAACTAAAATTATACATATACATAATAGAAATTCGGGAATTAATATTATGTATGTAATAGAAATACGGTGAATTAAAATGATATATATAACAGAAATTTGGCAAATTTTTATGTGCATAATGGAAATTCGCTTACTTACATTCTGCTTTGCTGTCCTCTTGGCAATAGCATTAGGTTAAATGGCAGCAAATGCATTCCATATTCCATGTAAAATATAAATTTTATCTTCTGAATGTGTACGAATACGCGCACGAATCCAGAACGAAAAGTAATTAAAATATTTATAGAAAATTTATATATACATTTTATTTTGACAACTGTCAAACTGTTAACCCTCTCAATAGCTGCTCGATGCTATGATGCTATGAATCTAATACATAACAACGCGAATCGAGACAGCCAATCAGCATCGCGGAAAAACGAGGACAAAATAAATAACATGCCTTTTTTAGAATAGGATATCTTTGTTTTGCTATTCATGACGGAACTTTTGAAAAAGATGATATTAAATATTTTGAAATGCCATTTATCTAAAACTAATTTGCGCCAATTGAAAAAATTGTCGGCTTATTTATCATTAAAATTATATACATCCACTTCAGCAGTTATTATGAACAATAAGGTAAATTATCTTGATAAAAAAACCATTAATCTTATTATACAATTAAATTTGCTTAGTGATAAATTTTTGCTATTAAGAAAGATTGACAAAATTTTCTTTCTTAAAATTCTCTAGCATTTTTTATAGAAGCTCAGAGACTTACAAAAGTAATATTCTTGATGAGGTTAACATAAATATTTGTCACTTTATTATTTTTATTATAAAATGTGTATGTCTGTGCATTTTACACATGTATTCTTTTAACATTTTTATAATTTATTAATATTATTTATATACATATATACAGGGTGTTCGGTAACAGGTGGGCCAAAATGTAAGGAGTGATTCTACATGATAAAATAAGACGAAAATCAAGAATGACAAAATTGCGTTCGAGATTTCGTTTATTAATTATAAATATTTTACACTTTGCAAAATATACATCAACTGTTACGTTGTAAGTTTTTGTATACTTATGCGTCACAGTGTATTTTGACGGCGACTCTACCGATGTACCTTACGCACGCCAAATATCGGAAAATTGCCGTGCGTCAGGCGCCCTTATTGCGAAGTTTAAAATATTTATAATTAATAAACAAAGTCTCGGACGCAATTTTGTCATTCTTGATTTTCGTCTTATTTTATCATGGAGAACCACTCCTTACATTTTGGCCCACCTGTTGCCGAACACCCTGTATATAATATTTTGCATAAATAAATAAATATATTGTGCAAAAAACAGACATACAAAAATTATAGAGTTGAAAAAGATTCATTTGGAGAAATGAAGGTGCCAGCAGATAAATATTATGGTATTCAAACTCTTCGAGCAATAATAAATTTTCCAATTGGTGATACATTTGAGCGTATGCCTGTAAGAAAAATAGCAATATTACCAAAATTTCAATATATTCATTTTTTATATGTTTGACATAATCAATATAAATAATTGTACAGTACAGACTAATAGTTGCTTTGGGTATAATAAAAAAAGCTGCTGCAGAAGTGAATAAAGAATATAATTTGGACCCCAAAATTGCTGATGCCATTGGCAAAGCTGCGGATGAAGTGATAAGTGGAAAGTTATATGATCACTTTCCCTTAATTATTTGGCAAACTGGATCGGGTACACAAACCCACATGAATGCCAACGAGGTAAATCTTACTTTAATTTAATTATTATTAGATTAATTAGTATATTACGAACTATACTCATGTATTAATAATAGCTATTTTATTAACAAATTAATTAAAAATGATGTTTTTTTTTGTTTTTTTTTAATTGACCAACAGAGAGAGAGAGAGAGAGAGAGCCAAAGCACAAAAAATTAATTATTCGGAACTGTATCTCTTGGTTCGAGATCACTAAGTTCCATATATAAATTAATCTCGAAACTTACATATGGAAAAATAGGCGCGAAAAATATAGGTCCGAAAAGTCGCTAAAGCGGGAATCGAACCCGCGTCTTTCACTTTCCGGGCGACTGCTCTTACCAACTAAGCTATTCAGACCCTTTTTTTTAACCAAGAGATACAGTTCCGAATAATTAATTTTTCGTGCTTTGGCTCTGTTGGCCGATTTAAAAAAAAAAACATATTTATATTCATAATATTGAAAGCCGATAAAAATATTTCTTTCTGATTTAATTGAAAATAATTTATGTCAAAAAATTATTAAAAATTAGGTTATTGCCAATCGTGCGATAGAATTACTTGGTGGTGAGCTTGGTTCAAAGAAACCTGTACATCCAAATGATCATGTCAATATGTCACAAAGTACCAATGATATGTTTACATCAGCTATGAATGTAGCTGTTGGCTTAGAGATTCATAAATCATTAATCCCAGGTTTAATAGAATTGTGTAGAGCGTTGAAAAAAAAGTCCGAAGAATGGGAAAATATTATAAAAATTGGTAGAACGCATCTGCAAGATGCGGTACCATTGACATTGGGCCAAGAATTTTCAGGTTTATATTTGTGCAAAATATTTTAATTTAATTAAAATATGAGAAAAGTGGGACTAATTAAGAGCCAAGCGTGCTTAATGATACGCGAAAATATGATTTCAAAAGTTATTTTTTATTTTCATATACGTTTCGCTCCTCTGTTTTAGACCATCTTCAGCATGTAATACAGTTCTAGTCGTTCGCACAGAAATTATATGCTGAAAATGGTCTAAAACAGAGGACCGAAACGTATATGGAAATAAAAAATAACTTTTGAAATGTAAATTTCAATATTTTCACGTGTCATTAACCACGCTTGGCTCTTATTTAGCCCCTCTTTTCTTATATTTTAATTCTTATTAACGGAGCCATATATCAAATAATATTTTAATTGATTTTAAAATATAGTTCACAAAGAATGTATTTTGTGCAACCGGCGCGCGAAACGTCGCCCTTTACGCACATAATGGGATTTTAAAAAGGGCTCCCTTTCCACGCACCGGTCACACAAAATATCGTAGCCAACATGTGTGGGTCATAAATCGGCCGATCGTGCGGATTGTCACACTCGACTTCGCTTCGTGCGCCAAACTTTCGCACTCTCGACCGATTTACGATCCCCCGCACTTGTTAGCTAATATACTATTAAAATATTTTATTTTATTCGCAAAAGGATATGCCACGCAAGTTGAAAATGGTATTAAGAGAGTGAACGATACGCTTCCCAGATTGTATGAATTAGCTGTTGGTGGTACAGCGGTCGGAACAGGATTAAATGCACGAAAGGGTTTTGCGGAAAAAACAGTTGCAAAAATTGCACAACTCACTGATTTACCATTTGTACCTGCTCCAAACAAATTTGAAGCTGTCGCTACACACGATGCAATTGTCGAAGTACACGGTGCTTTTAATACAGTGGCTGTTTCCCTCATGAAGGTGTGTATAAGTGTATATCTATTTATGTATACAATTACTACAAAAATACAGGTTTCGGTAAATATGGATATTAAAGAGAGATCATAATATATCATTACAAAGTCAAGTTTATTAGGGTGAATCTCCTAATATGTACATATACTGGGTGTAATTAAACAAAGGTATACGAATTAATCACACCATCTGGTGCAGGACAACAAACTAAATCGAAAAGTTAGCCATTTTTTAATCTGAGTTTTATTTTTGACGCTATAAATTATTAAAGTTGGCCAATTAGCGCATGACTACAACAGAAAACAGCGTAGGCGACGCTTAAGTAAACCTTATTAGCATTCCTATTAAGGCAGCGCCTATATGCTATATAGCCCACGCACTAATCGCTCGGGACTTTTCGATTTAGTTTGTCATCCTACATCTGATGGTATGTTTCGTATACCTTTGTTTATTTATTTAGTTACACCTTGTATATGCATACATATATTATTGTATCTATCTAGTCCTAATAAAACTTATATTCTATTTTACATATTACCTATATATAGATCGCAAATGACATTAGATTTCTCGGAAGTGGACCTAGATGCGGTTTAGGTGAATTATCTCTTCCAGAAAACGAACCTGGGAGCTCTATTATGCCTGGAAAAGTAAATCCTACACAGTGTGAATCAGTGACTATGGTGTGTAGTCAAGTAATAGGCAATCATGTGGCAATAAGTATCGGTGGCAGTAATGGCCACTTTGAACTGAATGTTTTTAAACCGCTTATCGTAGCCAATGCTTTAAGATCCGGAAGACTTTTAGGTGATGTTTGCACCACTTTTGTAAAAAATTGCATTGAAGGTATTATTCCAAATATCGAAAATCTAAATCGAAATGTTAATGAAAGCTTGATGCTTGTCACAGCACTAAATCCGTACATTGGTTATGACAAGGTATATTTTCTCATATTTTTTCATATTATATGTATAGAGTGCTCCATGTTAAACAATGCACTGTTATTTTTTCGAAATCCAAGTCCTTCCATCGGGGAAAAATGTTTCATACAAAAGTTGTAGGATTTCGAGAGTTTTTTGTAGTAAGCATAGCCTTATTCAAGGTGGAGACATTTTTGAGATTTAGAAATCATCATTATTTTTTAAAACAAGACTATCATAATTTTTTTACACAAATTAATTCCTATAGTTCTTAATATTTCGCGTAATAAATTGCTAAAGTGGAATAGCCAAAAAATAATTTATTTACCAGATATTTTGCCAGATGCAAAAAAAAGATTAAGAATTGTCGAAAAACTATATGTTAAAATAAGATATATTTCGATTTAAAAAAATATATCTTATTGTAATATATAGTTTTTCGACAATTCTTAATCTTTTTTGCATAGAATAATGAAATAAATCAATTGTTATAAGAAAAACATACTGTATATATAATTAAAAAATAGACTCCAAAAAACCTTAAAACCTAGTTGCGGAATGAATTGCGATTGAAACATTGATTGCAAATCTATTGCGGTCAGTGACTGATAAATAGGTGCGGAATAAGTTGTGAAAGGAGTTGCGATTAAATATTGGTTGTGAAATGATTTCCGGCTATGGGGAAAAAGAATGTCATTATCGATTCATAACGGTATAACAGTAAAAATCATACACTTCAAAAAACTGTAATAAAAAAACTGTCCATTTTTTAGCTTTTTACCTATTAGGTTTTTATGCTATCCAGACAGCATAGAATACTTATAATTATTTTAATATTTTATAAATATTTATCATAAATATTTTATAAATATTTTTGGAGTTATAGATTCAATAGATCCTAAATATTTATCATAAATATCAGAAAATATTTACAATAAATATTATGGTAAATATTATAAATATATTTATTAAATCATTATGATACAGATTTTTTTTATATTTTCTTTAATAAATACCCAGTAAGAAATCATGAGTTAAAAAGACATAATCAACGATTTTGCAATTAAAACACTCGATTGATATAGTCTAATCTAAAATTCGGTCGATTAAATGTTTTTGTGTTTTTCAAACTCTATTAGCCATTTATAAAAAAAAGATGTAAAGTTTATAAGTAACTTATTAGACATTTATTTAAAAATAGAATATAAAATTATAATATACACTAATAATATACTTAGGCAACAGAGTAGTTTAACAAATAAATTTACGTACACATTGATATATACGTAAATTTATTTGTTAAAAGACATTTTGTTGCAAAATGTAGCTCAAAAATAGAAATAATTTTATGACACTTTTAATTTTATTAATTTCTGTTTTTGTCTGCCTTATATAATTCTCACGACAAAAATTAAATACGAGAAAGATACGTTACATTACACGGTAAATGAATAAAGAACTAACAATTTAGTTAAAAAATATTTATAAAATTACTATAAATATTTATTTTTACATACCATAAATATTATATAAAATATTTAATCTATGTTTTAATAATATGTTAAATAAAGGTTTTTATAAAACATTTTTTAAATATTTATTATAATATTTGAAAAAAATATATATTCATAAATATTTATGAATCTTTATCATAAATATTGTGTGCTGTCTTGGTAAGGAATTCATTGATAGATACAATTTCTCATAAAAAATATGCGGGGTCCTTTTTTAATTGCAAAAGTATGTTTTTCTTACACCAATTGATTTATCCCATTATTTTCTATGCATAAATTATTGAGATTTTAACAATTTCTTACGCCAAATATTAAAAGGGATCGATTTGTGTAAGAAAATTATATATGATGGTTTTATTGTTGTAAAAAATAATAATTTTTAAATCTCAAAAATGCCTCTATCTGGAATAAGGCTATGCTTACGACAAGAAGTTTCTCTCAAAATCTTACAACTTTTGTATAAAACATTTTTCGATAGAAGCCTTGGTTTTCGAAAAATAGCAATACGCAATACGTTATTTAAAATATAGGACACCCTGTATATAAAATATATTTACACCTATATTTTTACATAAATTAATAAATAAAGAGTAGTTTTTTATACTTATATATACCTATAATAAATATTCTTGTAAGCATATTTATATTTATAATTCTTCTAATTTTAGGCTGCTATAATTGCTAAATACGCGCACAAAGAAAAAATTACATTAAAAGAATCTGCATTGAAACATGGAATAACGGCGGAACAATTTGATCAGTGGGTTAAACCCGAACAAATGCTTGGTCCTAAATAATTTCTATGTTAATAATATATTTATTAGAAATATATATACTTTAATTCGTTCGTCTTTGTACATTGCTATCAACAGAATCTGATATGAAGAAAAGTGCATGTTAACATTCACACACTAGCGAAATATTTATATTTTTTTACATATGATAAAATTTTATCTCATCTATATATTTTTCAAAATTGATATTATCGATATATACTATGTTTCATTATATGCACAATGCATATTTTAAAATTATATTTAATAAAAATAATGGCTATTTTAATTAATATGAGAATTAGGGGGAGCGATGGTGAAAAAGCTTAACAGAAAACTTCTTTTACTTATGAGACTTACCATTATTTGCTGTATCAAAAAATAAATAAATGTTTAATATATAATATAATAAATAAATGTTTATTTAATAATTTGCTAGGAAAAAATTAATTATGGTGATAAAACCCTTAACATATAATTATCATATATAATAAATACACAGAGCAATGACACATTTATTTTTGCAATAGTTTAATAAATGCTCCATATGTCATACATTTTTGCAACTACACATGGTAAATATAAAAATACATAAGATCCGTCATAAAATATACATTGTAAACATATCGCAGGTATATAAAAATATATAATAAACAAAGTTTGTTTATAAAGATGTTATCCTTCTGGCGAATGCACTTTGTCGATATCTAAGAATGCTGATAGTGTGCTGTCAAATTATTATTGCGTTACTTGTGAGACAAGATCAGACCAAAATGTTGAATAATCTTTCAATATAGTTCCACTAAAAAACAAAAACAAGGTATTATTCTAATGAAATTATTGAAATTTCAATAACGTAATTAAACATACAATTATAATTATAAATAAAATTATATAAATTATTGTGCTAATGTCATCTTTTTTTATTTTGTATGATTCTATTTATCACCATATCTCTCTCATTATATCTATTAATTTATTAATATCCTATCAAAGAAACTTTTCCTTGTTGGCTTTATTTTTAGTACATAAAAACATACTTTTTAATATATATAAATTATTTATCATTATATATATATATATATATATATGTATGTATATATTATACATGCTATCATAATATGTAAATATATAAAAATTGTAATACGTAAACTATTTTTAAATTATTAAATATAAATATGTAAATCGCCTAATATATGTAAAATATTTATGATGATTCTTGATTGGCTTTGTGAAATTATAAAAAAATTGTGGTTGCATGAATATATTTCTAGCTCATTTCAAAAAATTAATTTTCAAAATAATATATGATTAAATTGCTTTAAGTTTTGTAAGATAAGTGTCATAAGATAAATTTCAAAATTTTCAAAAATTATATATACGGAGAAAGGCTAAAACTTTTGAAAAATATATAACACATTATTTTGAAAATAAATCTAATTGCATTGTTATAAAGTATATTTTAAAAAATCACAAAATTTTTTAAATTAAGTTAAAATGAAGTCAGACGGACGTTTCGACTTGGTTTTTTCAAGTTGCCTTCAGCGCAAAAATTATAAATAATTACAAGAAGAATCAACTAAAACATTGTATCAAACTAATAACCTACGGAAGTCATAATATGTTTAAAATATTTTACAATAAACAAATATTAAATAAGTTAGCAATAGACAGTCAAATTGTTAAATTTCATATATATACGATTAACCATGTTTTATTTAATTTTTTCTTGTATCTTATAACTTCTTATTATATGCGTTGATTCTTAGTAAACTTAATTACCATTATACAGCTCTTGCAAGCCTTTTTATACTCCTTAATTTTAATATCAAAGAGCTTTTTCAATTGTTACAAAATTTTTATTTAAAATATTTTTTCAAATTGTTCCAAAATAAAATATTGCACTTACGTGAAATAAACGCTACCACGTGCATTTGACGGTGCATTCCAAATAAAGGTGGCTTGCTCTTTTTCGCGTGGATCCGCGTGCGTCACAGCGCTGCATTCAGAATGTGTTTTTGTGTTCGGTGTTTGTGCCCATGATCCAATCCATTGTTTTGTTTTGGTATCACGTGCCTGCACAAAAAATCCTTGAAATGGTGCTCCCCCTATGGTAACTATAAAAATAAAAAATCGACACAATTTGTTTTTGTATTTAACTTATCTTTTATTATTGATTCATATTTGCAATACAATAATATAGTGCATATGAATTTTGAACAAATCCGCTAATATTTTTTATGCTAATACTGTCAAAATATTTTTTTTTATTTTATTGTCTTTAAAATTTTAATATTTTTTAAGTATTAATTAAATAAAAAGTAGGTATTATTGAATTAAATCGATTTTTAAATTTATAAGATTTTTATAAATCTTATGACAGTATTAGAGCAAAAAAACATTTTAGAATAAATAATCCAATTAATATTAATATACGGCTCTTATTATAATAACAAGATAGAAAGAATATTTGCTGCGAGTGCCAAAAGGCTCTTGCACAATGCCAAGCAACAGGCAATAGGAATAAGAAATAGAAAATATCCACCAATAGGAGCAGAGAATAATATCTATCTCCTTTTCCGATTGGTTGACATTTTCTATTTCTTATTTCTATGGCCTGTTGCCTGACATTGTGCAAGGGCCTTAATGCTTAGCAATTCGCTAAGATAAGTCGAGGAACAATCTCGAAATTGAGATTTGAATTCCTCTGTTCCCTTTACCCCTCTTAAATTGATGTAGACGAAAAAAATATATCAGTCTGAAAAAATCGTTTGTTATTAGTACACACTGATTGTATACATATATACGTGATTTCATTAGTATACATATAGACAAGAGAGGTATATCGGTTCGTTAAAGTGTCTGAATAGTTCAGTTGGAAGAGCAGTCGCCCGGCAAGCGAAAGGTCTCGGGTTCAATTTCCCGATTCAGCCGACTTTTTCGGACCGATATATTTTTCTCGTTCACATCAATTTAGAGGGGTGAAGGGAAGAGAGGAATTCAAATCTTAATTTCGAGATTGTTCCTCGACTTGTCTTAGCGAATTGCTAAGCATTAGGCTCTCGCAGCAAATATTCTTTCTATCTTATTATAAATAATCCACTTTAAAAAAAAATATGTATTAATTTTTATCTGAACTAGATAATATAAACGCGCGCTAAACAAACTTTTTCTCCGCGAGTGTACATAATTTTAATTTGCCAAATTTCGATTATGTACATAACTTTAATTCTCGAATTTCTACATAATTTTAATTCGCCTAATTTCTATTACAAATATAATTTTAATTCGCCGTATTCTTTTATGTAAATAATTCATTCTATTTCTACATATTATGTAAATAACTGTAATTGTATCTAATAGAAATTCGGCCAATTGAAATTATGTATATAATAGAAATTCGGCGAATTAAAATTATAACAATAGAAATTCAAGAATACTTATGTATTGTATTAGATTGTTCGGAAAGTTCGTTTCAATATAAGTTTGAACGCAATATTTTACACAAAGAGGAACTTTATTTAAGCAAATATGTACCGTTTTGTTCAACCATCTTGGCCCATCTTTCCGGAAGTAACATGATGCCTTTCTTCCAACATGAAGGTTTCTTACTGGCGAAGAATTGATCAAAATGATTTTTGAGGATTTCGAATGACTCGAATTTCTTATCCTGAAAAAAATTTTACAAAAAAAGAAATAGATAGTAGTCAGATGGGGCAAGATCTTGAGAATATGGAAGATGAGGGAAAACGTCCCATTTTATGTTTAATATAGTTTCCTACGGATAGACATCGCGACGTGAGGCGTTATCATGGTGGAAGACAACTCCACTCAGTTCAGAGCGCTTTCGTGCGATGGCAGTCTTCAATTCGTCCAGCTAAAGGCTATACTATCTATGTGAAGTTAGCTGATGAGCAGAAAATAGTCTTTAGTGCCCTCGCATTTACTGATTATGTAGAAATACATTAAAACGAACTTTCCGAACAACCTAATACATAGTAGAAATTCGATGAATTAAAATTTAAAATATAATGGAAATTCAAGAATTAAAGAGTGACCGCAAAAAAATTGTTTTTTAGCCTGTTTTTGCAACTTGGATAGCGAGCTTGGGATAAAACATAAAATGGTTCAGCAGGTCTCAAATTAATCGTCATCGAAAATGAAAAGAGGCACCTTTTAGTTTTTTGAAAATTTTCGAATGTTACCCATAATTAGGGGTTAAAATTACTCCAAATCACAATATGGCCAAATCGAAAAAAGCTGAACAAAATTTCAAAAAATCGAGTAATTGACCTGAAATTCTTGACTGTTTTTGGGGTCGCTGATCACAAAACTACTATCCAAATTGCAAAATTCAATTATTTAAACAATTTATAGATAAATAATTATTGTTAAAATAACTTTTTTTACATTGGGCATGCTGCACATATAATAGTTATATGTTTTTTGGATCACTGATTACGAATGTACTATCAAAATGATTTTTACAATAATTATTTATTTATATATTATTTAAATAAATAAATTTAGCAATTTTTCGATAGTACATTCGTAATCAGTGACCCAAAAAACATATATAATCATGTGCAGCATGCCCAATGTAAAAAAAAAGTTATTTTAACAATAATTATTTATTTATAAATTGTTTAAATAATTGAATTTTGCAATTTGGATAGCAAATTCGTGATCAGCGATCCCAAAAACCTCACAGTCAAAAATTTCAGGTCAATTACTCGACTTTTTGAAATTTTGTTCAGCTTTTTTCGATTTGGCCATATTGTGATTTGAAGTAATTTCAACCCCTAATTATGGGAAACTTTCGAAAATTTTCAAAAAATTAAAAGTGATGCCTCTTTTCATTTTCGATGACAATTAATTTGAGACCTGCTGAACCATTTTATGTTTTATCCCAAGCTCGCTATCCAAGTTGCAAAAACAGGCTAATTTTGCGATCATTCTTTATGTTCAATGAAAATTCGAGAATAAAATTATGTACATAATAGAAATTCAGCGAATTAAAATTATGAAAAGATTATAAATTCAAGCATTAAAATTATGTATGTAATGGAAATTCGACGAATTAAAATTATGTATATAATAGAAATTTGCCGAATTTATACCTATAATATATACATAATTTTAATTCGTCGAATTTTTATTTCGTACATCAAATTAATTCTTTATTTTTATTATGTATATAATTTGTCCCGAAAACAATTTTAAAAAAGTATCCCGACGCGAAATAATTAATTAAATTGTCCCGGAGACAATTTTAAAAAAGTATCCCGACGCGATAGAAATTGGCAAATTAAAATTATTTATATAATAGAAATTTGATTAATTAAAATTATTTACATAAAAGAAATACGGCAAATTGAAATTATGTACATAATAGAAATTCAGCAAATTAAAATTATTTATATAATCGAAATTCGATAAATTAAAATTATGTACATAATAGAAATTAGAAATTCAATCAATTAAAATTGTTTTTCATAGTAATAATGTAAAGTGTAAATTTAATATTATAAAGCGCAATCAACAGTTGTTTTTGAAACTTAAGATAAAAGACTTAAATTATAAGCTTAATTTTGTCAAATCAAAAATTAGATCCGCCGAACAATGTATGCGAAATTATTTACCGATGGATTTGGTCAATCAATTTTTTGAATTGAGTAAATTTACACTTCAAAAGTTCAATTAAAAAAAGAAAATGATAGCAATTAAAAAGTATAATCAATTGAAACGAAATTGTGATTTTGAATTAGATTAGTTTAAAAATATTGATAATTTGTCATGGTTAGTTAACATCAGCAAGAAGGAACTGCCTAACACAGTTAAGAACATTTTGAGTTTGGATCAAAATTTCGGACTTCCGTTACAACAGTCAAATGAGAAAGATCGATTTACTTACACGTTAGAAGTAATAAAAATTTCGAAGCTAATGATTTAAAAATATCTCGAGAAAATAGGTCAGATGTTAGGAATATAATTGTTGACTCTCTAAGTAAATTCTTACGTGATAAAAAGCACATTAATTATGTAGACAGATTGATTTCGGAAGGATTTTCCGCTTGTAAAGAGTTTCTCAATTCAAATAAAGATATCGTAGTTACGCGAGCAGACAAGGGACAAACAATCGTAATCATGGACAGAACAGATTATTTACAAAAAATGAGCTTCCTACTTAGTACGTATAAAAAACTTGAAAAAGATCTTATAAAACCTTTAACGAATAAATTAAATTCATTGTTAAAATCGTGGCGATCTAATGGTCTTATCGATGATAGAACGTATAACGCTTTGAATTGCATAAATGGGAATTTACCACGATATTACGGGCTTCCCAAGATACACAAGAAGGGTTTTCTACTGTGTCTCATTGTATCTTCACTCGATAGTCCGTTTTATAAGTTAGCGAATTATATTCATAACATTATACATTGTTCCAGCGAGAAACCAAAGTCGCACATAAATAATGGATGGTCATTTTCAGAAAATATTAAAGATAGAACAATCAATGATTCTGAAATAATGATTTCTTTAGATGTTTCATCGCTATTTACTAACATTCCTAAAGATTTAGTTATGAGGGGTACTGAAATGCGGAATGGAATAATATATCGAAGAATACAAATTTAAATTTAGAACAATTTTTACATGTAATAAGTTTGATTTTGGACTCAACTAATTTTAGATTTGAAGGACAATTTTATGAACAAATTTATGATAGTCCAATGGGATCTCCTTTGTCCCCAATTTTAGCTAACATGATTATGGATGATTTGGAATCACATTCTTTGAGCGTGTTAGATTTTTCAGTTCTAATATATTACAGATATGGATGATATTTTTGTAATAATACCCACTGAAAAGTTAGACATAGTTTTATCTACGTTTAATAGGTATGATGAGCGACTAAAGTTTACGTATGAGATCAAATGTGTAACTCGTCATTAAATTTTTTAAATACAACTGTATTGCGTTGTGAAAATAACAAATTGATAACAAATTGGTTTAGAAAACCGACGTAGTCAGGCAGATATATAAACTTTCTTTTAAGTCATCTTTTAAAATATAAAATTAATACGATTTACAATTTAGTGGACCACGCTTT